CCCCCCCCAAAAAAAAAAACGCAGAACCATACGTAGACAGTGTAATTGGTAGTCATGCTTATGGTTGGTTCCGTTGTCGTACTACCTGCCATACAGCTTGATCTTAAGCTATATCTAAGCAGCCCTCGCGAAAACTAAGCACCAGCAGCCTCCATCTTGCCAGAAGCGTGAAGTTCCAACAAGATTGCACTAGGGGATCCCGGCACGTAGCGAACCTTTAAGCCCTCAACCTCAAAACACTGAATATCCCAACCCCTTCACAACCTTGTCATCCACCACAGCGACGCAACGGCCCAATGGCTTGTATACGTCGAAGAGCAGATGATTCGAAGGGTCGAGGACCTTGCGGGCAAATAACAGGCCTTTCGTAGGAAAACTTGGGAGGCTCTTGACTAGTTGTGAGCGAAACTGTCAGGTTTCCGCCATCACCCTGTGGCCATTAAGATAGGGGTCCTACTGTTTTCGGGTTCCTCTGTTTTCGGGCATGGTATGTATTAGAGTTAGGGGCTCCTCGGTCCGATAATACCTTGATCTTGACATGAGAAAAACTCTAGGATCTTCAATGATTTTCAGACACAAAGATGCATCCAAGCCTTGCGAGCAATCTTGATAGTGGTGGTGATGGTCGTGCTCATCACTGCCTCTATGGTGGAGGCATCTTGAGTCGCCAGGGTCAGCGCATCACACTGCCTGTGGATGTAGCTCTGCCCAAGTCAAGTTAGATTTTGGGTTTGTGGCTTAGGTAGCGAAGTAGCAGACACCAGCCCCCCACCCCAAAAAAAAGAGAGAAATCTGCATGTTTGAGACTGCCTGTAGATGGAGGTGGGGTAGACTGCGTGCGCATCAGCATCCTCCAAGTAGGCAGCGTTCTTCATGTACCTGGGCCATTCTTGGGGCAAAACAGAAACTGCACCTGTTCTTTCCTTATTCTTACTGTCTGGAAGTCACAGCGATAGGTCGCTTTAAGCACCTTATTTGACCAGCATCTTCTTGGCCCTGAGCGCAGGTAGAAGTTTCGGCTTCCCCAAACCTAGGAACTCGTGGGATATACAGCTGAGTCCGGAATCCTCTTCCGTTTTCAGGCTTGTACAGCTCAGATGGTAACAAAAACCTATCTTTCCAATCCAGGTTCCCGTGCGTACCTCCCCACAAGATTACTGGCTAATTAGTCTTGGCCATAGGAAACGATAACTCTAGACCCAGACCCTATGTCCACTAAACCCCACCCCCCTCTTCATGTTGAGACTTCGCCAAACAGGAAAAGCAAGGTACTCCGCGTGGACCTCCTCCGGAAGCTCCTTGCTCACTTCCTTCGGCGGGATTGCCCTAGTTGCCTCTTCTTGGCAAACAATACAACCTCGCAAGGGCAACCCCTCTATATCTCCTTCTTTCCATCCACCAAGGCCCTCGCACCCCCGAATCAACCATGATTTTGGGAAACGTTATCATGTACAGACTATTCCAAGAGTCCATTCCTTCAGTCCATGCAAGCAAGGGGCAAGCCTTAACATCATCATCTGGATGATGACTACAAGAACCCACAAAAAGTTCATGCTTCTCATCCTTTTCCGTCATAGTCAACCGACCGCCCAAAAAGAATCAGCTTGGCCTGAGGGACTTTAGAAATCGGGGGCAGATCACAAGACTCCCACACAAAATGCCTTGACGGCTCGAAGATGCGAGGCGGACTGGCACAGATGCTCGGTAAAAGCGCTGAAGTCGGCCGAGGCTTGGGGGTCCAGGCGCCTCCAGTCAACACTGCTGCTGGGTGTTGTAGGTGGTGACGCCGTCCCTCCAAACTAACATGGAACCTTACACAGAAGCCTTCTGACAGGACCTTAGTCTTGGTAGAGCTCGTTTGAGGAGTTCCTGCTGGTGTTGTGGCGATGGAAATTTGGGACCAGTGTGTGGCAAAGGTGATGGCTTTTGACCAGGGCAAATGTGGCAGCAAGATGGGGCTTACGAGCTTGTCTCCAGCAACCTCATGACTCATAGCTGTACATGTACATTCCATACCCGACAGCTACTGTCGAGTCTTATTGTGGTACTGCATGTCTGGATTCGCTGATTGCTAGGGCGTTAGCTGTCAAAACTTGGCTTGATAACTTGTTGGTGATGTTCACACCTTCGCGACGGTGCTCAACATTCAGGTGGGCAATAAAAAAGCTATTGCAATACTTCGAAAGCTGGTATTCACATAAAATCCACAAAGTGTGCCTGATACCTGACAATGTTAGTACTTAACTCACCATCATTTTTCCCTAAAACATGGGGAACGACCCATTCCGTCAAAGAGCTCTACAAAGCAGGGACCCTTGACGTTGATAAACTCCTCTTATTCCAGACTCAATGCCCGAAACCACCCCAACAAAAAGTAGGCACCTCGCCAAGTTGGCCATGAGGATCGCCAATTGACCTCGACATTTGTTAATTTGGGAAAACCATATGTTTAGGAGTGGTTCTTGGTGGGAGCCCTTGTGGCAAGGAATATACCATTTGAAGGTGCACCATGTTTTCGTGGACATGCCCGTGTCCCAGAGGCTCTAACTAAGCAAGCCCGATGACCTTTCATGGGCTGGATTTTGGGTACATGTCAAACGCACTGAACAACGCGACCCATCATTGCTGTGGACTGGAGACTGCTCAAGCTCATGCTGAATCAATGTTATGCCAGCCCCCTCCTTTACAGCACCCTTGGATCATGCGGAGGGGGGTGGGGGGAAGAACTTCATTTGCTAGCAACAGCACATGCTCCCGACAGTAGAGCCTCCCAACTGACAATTCCAAAATTTCACTGTATGGTTCTGATATAGAATCATGAGACTGTTTATTTTGTGACGTGGTCTTCATGAGTCAAACGATGCTTCACACTTGCCTGCTCACACCTGAAATGTTTCGCGATAACAGCACAAACGACATGATACTGGTCAGCAGCCTCGCAAGAACTAAGCCCCGAGCCCTGAGTGGCAAGTCTTACCCTGTAAACCCTCCACCTTCAAACCTAAGCCTTTAACTTTAACTCTTTAAACTTTACACCATACACGCTACAGAGCCTAAGTCCTAAGCCCGGCGGCTTTGGGGCAGGTTCCAGAAGTACTTCAGCTGCTTCAATGTATGAAGCAGGTCGAGATCGTCCTATTCAAGGCTTTCAAAATGCAGTTCTGGATCCGGAAGAACAAACGCGCTACATGTGGTTTAGCTTAGATAGGCTTAGTCCAGAAGTTTTTTAAAAGCGTGGTGCTATGCTTGCATTGTCCACGCATCAATGTTCCAATACTATATGCCTTCACTGTCGGAGGGAGATGTGGAGATCCTGATTTTTGAAACCGTGCCCCTGCAGCTTGCCCTGCATCCTAACTCCCCGCCCAGACCCAAAAGCTCTGCAACTCGAAACTTTTCGTAAGCCTTCATCCCTCATTGTCATAATCACTGTGTCGCAGCGCAAGTGAACTCTAGCCGGCTGAAAACGGCGTCTTACTTCTTGAGGGCTATGAGGTTTACTCCAGATACCTGGAGGCTCATACCCTTTCATTTGGGGTACCTACCTGTCTGTTGGGAGATTGTCCTAGCCAGAGGTGTGCGCACACCACCAAAAAAAGCGATGCATAAGCCTCAGGCTAATTGGAAGGGGGCATGGAGCCACTGCTACATGCGTCGAGAACTACTACAGAATGATGGATTTAGGCAGGGTATGGCATACAAAGCACATAGAAGAACTTAGAAGAAACTTTAAACAAACGAGAAATCCAAAGCCCAATTACCACAACTGACCGTTCAAAATCAACCCCAAGTGTTCCGTGAACCCGAAATCCCAAACCGAAATGTCCTTGAAGGCGAGACCAAAGTCGTGGGAAAAGACGGGAAGTCTGCCAAGGCTTGAGGTTGAGGATTTCTCGGGTCAGACTTGAGGGCTTCCCAGATAAGGTTTGGAGGATAGGAGTTTCGTGACGGACAATCACAACTCCTGTGGGTGTAGTGGAATCCATGAAAACTATGCAAGGAAGTTGGCTGAGGTTTACCTATCAGTCAATACGGGAAGGGATTTGGAAGTAAGCACATATTCGAGGCATGGGGGATGTCAACACGGAATGAACAGAGGCACCTCCCGGTATCTGCTCTCTCACGTAGTATTCTCAACATAAGGTCCCCCAAAAAGCACAAAAAATGCTGCGGTTCACGTCTCAAGAACGCCTTCAAAAAAGGACTGACAATCTTTTTGCGGACGCCCTTTTCCAGACAAGTGCAGAACAAGCTACAGGTACATGTATCCTACCTGGCTAGATATATTCATTTCGCATCCCTGAACAGTGACTCCTGGGCTGCAGACCCTGCACGCCTCCATTGCATGTATCCTAGGTAGCTATATATATAAGAAATATAATTTAGCGCTCGAAACTCCAAATCCTAAACCGTTGTACATGTATCCTCGGTCACTAAGAACCCCTCAAGACCCAAAAACTCCTACACACCCTACATGTACCCCCTGCAGCCATACAACTCTTAAGACAAGAGACCGCGATAGGGATACCAATGCGAAGCGGACGTCCTCATTGCATAGGGCATCCTTCATCTTCTCCTCACTTCGCAGCCGACAGGGAAGAACAGTTATTGAAGAATGTAAAGCTTATGTAGGCTCTAAGGCTCCAAGGTCATGATTGTAGATTTTGAAGGGCCGTTGGAGCAATTCTGCCTTGCATTTCCTGCAAAGCACCAGGTAATCACAACTTTTCCTCACGTTAATGACCATTCTGGGCTCTGAAAATGATCAGACCCACATAGGCAATGTATTGGGATGCTTTGGGGGATGCACTGCTGTCGATGCTGCTGCTATGATTGCAGCCGCATCTGAGCTACTCCTACTGGTGGTCAGCAGCGCCTCCGCAGGCTTCTCGCCGTGAAAGCTGGCGCGCATGGCCTTCAGAGCGCACCGCATAGAGGCCAGAATCTGCGTGGTGTTGATGCCTTGGCACAACAAAATGACTTCTAATTACAGCAATATCCAGGACAGTGAATTCTGGACTCGGCATTCTGAAGGTAAGAAAACATGGCCGACGAGAGAAACCGATAACAGTGCCTCAAAGATGTAACAAGTTTAAACTCTGAAGAGAAGCTGTCAAGCTTGTAGTAATTGATCTCTGTTGTCGGAAGCGTCTCCACCACATCTCCACCTCGGGCACCTGGGCAATTGCTTTTTTGCATTGAAGATTTCATGATCAGGGTTTCAGGGACCATGCTCTCGCATCATGATGATGATGGTGATCATGATGATGATGGTCATCATGATGATGCGCACACACCACTGTCGCTGGGATGCCTTTCCCATGATCACGTTCCCCATTACGCGCCCGCCTAGTCTTGGGAAACTCCAATGTTACGGTACTGCCTGTTCCTGCGGCATGGACATTGGGTAGTACGGTTCTACTACATGGAACCTACCAACCACCCCGAACCTAAGTGTAGCTTCATTCTTCTCGCTCCGCAGCCAGTTTAGCCGTGAACCAGGGCACGGAGCGACTTCGACGTGCGGGACCTCTTGGCCGACAAGGCTAAGGCGCCCAAAACGCCCGCACCAACTACGGCGGAGCCTGTGCCTAGGGCAATGAACTGCTAACATGAGTCCAAAAAGGTTGAGGCACATATCTCAGAAGCACTATACCAACCTGCCACATGGACAACAAGTTGACAAAAGCATGTGGATGTTCAGGCTGGCGATTTAATCAAATTTAATCATGCATCCTCGTTTGGCATATGTTCCCTCCGCAAGGCCTTAGTTGCGTGCTGGGGAAGGCGAGGAAAGTCCTTCTTACTTGGGTCTTCCATGGAGCACGTACGCATGCTTTTCAGAATTTGCCTTTTTTTGTGCAAGCCGGACCGATGAAAAACAAAGATCAAGGATCCTGGAGCTCTTTGACCCGGAAACCCTTGCCACCATCAACACAAGTTGAAAGGCAAAATGCGAGACACCCCAAGTTGTGTTAAAAGTATTGCCCGTGCTCTATCCGCTGTCACTGTCTTCTGCAAGCACCAGCCTATACCGTGGATTCTAGAACGCAGTGCTTTTACTCGGCATATCCCTGTCGTTGATGTATAGGCTCCCCAAACGCTAATGCCAATTGATGCAAGCAGAGGCCTTTCTGGCTTTTCTGGTGAACGGATCCGTCTGGGGGTTTCCATAAATAGGGGGCCCGGATTTAGACATTGAAAGGGGCTCAATTCTGGAGAAAAAAAGCCCCCGTTTCGCATCCAAGCCCTCAGCGCCAACCCCCAGCCCCCGAACCCTAAAGCTAGATCACTGTAAGGCGCTACACCTCAAAGCTTGAACCCTAGACTCAGGCCCCAAAGGCCAAAAGCTGTACCCCTAGCCTCAGACTCTGCTGGCCGTGAATCCTACATCCCTATGTATCCTAGCCCCTTCAAATCCTAAACCTGCACCCATAGCCAGGATCCCCTGCCAAGGACCCACCCTAAATTATCCTTATACCGAGTTCTTCCTAATATTTCCCCATATTGCTAGAATTTCCTGGGTACCAATGTTTCACCCAGATACCAGACAATGTTGGCGTCTCCTTGGGCGCTGAAGCCTTGGCCAATGTTGGGGCTCCGCGCAAGGCCTGGGAGGCTCCTGGAGATACCTCAGAGACGTTGGCAGCTGGGTATGGCGTTATAGCGTGCGTAGGGTTTCAAAGGGTTCAGGTCTTTAGGGTTGAAGGTGTCCCGTTTAGGGCTCTGGAATTTGGGGTGCTTGCCTTTAGAAACTCAAGCCATTACCCCATATAACCCCGAAGCCGTCCAAGCCGTCAGGCTAATGAACTGCCAGGATGCCGCATAGCTCACAGCAAAGGCTGCCATGGTGGAGGCGGTGGCTGCGATGAGATCTGGGCAGATGGACTGATGTATCCTGCTTTTGTGGCAAGTGCCTTGAGCCCCACAGGTAGCAGGGTCTCTGCGGATGCCTTTTGTGAGAGGCCCCGGCAAAGAGTAAAACGTCCAGTTTGTTGAAGATACCGTGGCATTACGATGGATGCCACCGATGCCGCGAACGCCAATCCCTCCCCTGCCCATGGGGAAACATTCTCCCCCCCAAGCACTTGATATGCCCACTAGGATCGCGACAAACATCGGAGAGGGCGTAGTTCATGCGAGGGCTTTGCACAAATAAGACTGCAGCCTCTTACAACACCCTGCAAGCCATCCCCACGTTTCCCAAACTTCAAATTCGTCATGCCTATCTCAAATTGTCTTTTTTTAGAGCTTGAGTGGCAGGTGACTCTGAAAGCCCAAACAACATGTACATACAGAACGATAATGACATCGCATTTTCAGGAGTTGTTCAAAGGTCAGACTCGTCAAGTATGAGATGGCGGAGGACCAAAGCAATGCAGGTCATCGAAGTGCTGAGTACCTCCGGCATCGCCAAACCCCAGTCAAGAGTTCAGAAGCACGGCAAACATGTAATAAAGCCAGGCAGACGCAAGTTAGGGATGACGAAGCGAGCCTCGTTCAGGAATAGGGAACTGACATGTGGCTGTGCTCTCCCCAGAGAGCCAGGGATGGCTAATACTTCACGGCACTAAACTTAAAGGTCCAAGTAGCTAAGACCTCACACCTTCTTTGAGAGCCGCTACCACAAGCAAACGTTTAAGATCCCCAGGAGTTGGTCCTGTAGCCCGCTGCAAAAAGGGGGCCTTTAAAGGGCCTGCGGGATGGCTTCCAAAGGTTGCAGAGTTTAAGGGGACGCGACCTGGGCTTACGTGGAATGCGACCAGCTCCGGCTGCCCTACTCTGCGCATTCATCAGTTTATGGATCCTTTCACACTGCACACACACATGTAAATACATACGGCTGTCTGTCTGTCTATCTATCTATCTATCTATGTATCTATCTGTCTGTCTATGTGTGTGTATGCATGCATGCAACGTATGTACCGTATGTATGTACCGTACGTACGTAGGTATGTATGTATGTATGTATGTATGTATGTATGTGTGTATGCATGTGTGCATGCATGTCTGTATGCATACGTACATGCACGGAATGTAATGTGATGTAATGTGATGTAATGTGATGTAATGTAATGTAATGTAATGTAATGTAATGCAGTGTAATATAATGCAGCGTAATGCAGTGCAGTGTAACGTAATGTCATGTCATGTAATGTGTGTGTATGTAGGTAGGTAGGCAGGTAGGTAGGTAGGTAGGTAGGCAGGCAGGCAGGCAGGATGTGTGGATCGAAGGAAGAGGAGCGAGAGGGAGAGGGACAGTCATATCTGTAGGTGCATATAGCGATCGGCATAGGCTGAGGAGCTCGCCTTTCCAGAAATTGCAGGGAGGCTGGCCAAGCAGCGCCTGTCAAAGTGCATGTTACTATGTCTTATGCAAATGTTGCATCGAAGGCTTCGAGCTGAGACCTGTGTTGTTTTGTTTTTTATTCCATAATCATTTTCCCTCCCGCCTGCACAAGAACTCAAAAGCACCTCCTAGCCACGACGGTCTCTAACTGGGCTGCTTGGGGCGCATCCAGGAAGAACGGGACGGGGTACTTGCTAAGGTGTGCAATTTGGCTCCGGGGGCTTTAAAGCCCAACACAAAAGATATAGATCAAGCTTTAGGGGCGTGCTGCCCCCTTCTATCAATATGCCAAGCAAGGGGGCATGGCAGAAAGGCACCTCGAAAACCATGCAGGAAAAAGCTTTGTTTCCTTGGGTTCGGGGCGTATGCTTTGAGGATTTATACAGGGGGAAGGGAGTCAAGGGGTTTTCGGTGCATAGGGTCCAAAAGGGCCCAGTCAGGACATGCATAAAGGCTAACTATCTAAAAATTGCCAGAAGCCCCTTGCATTCTTGAAAAAATCCTGCCCAACCCCAAGTTGCTGCCATCCTATAGGACTTACTGCGTAGCGTGTCTATTTGCGCTATCTGCTTCAAAATTCCATGTGGTTTGTTTCGGACTTGAGTTTGGTTGAAAATGGGCTGTAGAGTCCAACATCACAAAAGGTGTGGTGCCATGATCTGCTGCGGGCATCAAGTTTTAACAAATTCCCGCATGCAAAGGTTGCATTGATGTTGGTGTCGTGTAGACATGCACCGAAAAGATGCCTGCATAACTTGACTGCTGATGCATGAGGGAGTAGTCCTGTACCTCGGCGCGCTGCCAGCCCATCACAATCCATCTAACTTATTCACCCCCATCTGGGTCCTGACCGTTATGCCAGATGGCCCCGTGCTAGCTCAAGGGTCTCAGGCTTTCGCCTTTGAGCATTTTGGGGAATTGAACACCCTGAGTTGAGGTGATATAGCACGGGTCAACAAGCACTGGTCTGATACCAGAAGCCCACTTTCACTAACTCAAAAGCTCAGGATGTGCGGCCGATTCTGAGTCGCGTTCTTTCAGCTGTTGCCTCGGGCGCACGCTGTGATAGAGGAGTTGAACGCTTTGGCCTGAGCTAGGGCCATTCAGAGCGGCGGCAGCTTCTGGGTTGTGGGGCCCAGCCTCAGACCCTGAACCCTAAATCCCTAAACTCCTGAACCCTAAATACTAGTTTCAATTTCCTTTCCATTCCGCTAGGGACAAGGTTTCAAGGTTCGGGGGGTTTCGTGTTTGGATTGTGCGGGTTGGATTTACACGAACTCAGCATATGCGCATCTAGGGTTTGGGTCAAAGCCTAGCACACCTGGGCAAAAGCGCCGCACTCCCTGGCTCAGAGTTTAGGAATCATGTCCCGCATCTGTTTTCATGTCCCTGAACTCTATATTCCAGAGCTGCATCCCCAAGTGTACAAGTACTTGAAGGCCTGGACAGTTTGTGCGCCTGAAGCGCATTACTCTTAGAGCTGCCTTCTGCTAATTGCGTGTCATGACTGCTTGCATGTGCTTGTGGGGCCAGCAGGCACTTGGCTTTGTTGAGATCTCAAAGACTATAACCGAGCTACATAAATTGGCATCTGTATCACTGAAGGACCCCTACGAGGTGGCAACCCAGATTGTTGAGAGACTCCTTGCCCGGATAACAACGGAATGCTTCAACTTGAACCAAACATGTCGCAACCTAAGTCCTGCGACTGAACGCTCTGAGCGCTTACACTGCTCTCAGAACAACCTTCACTAATGCCAATCACTTGGGCCACAGCGTCGGGCACGAGGTCTTCGTGCTCCAGCCTAGGCACAAGAAATCAAAAGTGGTGAGCCCACACCCATGTAGGAACCTCGAACCCAAAAGGCTCAAGTGTTTGTGATAACACATATCTTAGGTCCAAATAGCTTCCAATACAGATAGATGTTGGGACTGAACTGGGCCATTCAACCACTGAAACATGACACCGGAAGGAGCTAAGTCAAAGCACCAATGCCTGCTCGAACTGAGATGGAATTCCTGGTCCCAACTCAAAACCCGCGAAGCTTCAACCTGTCAAACGCAGAACACCCACTCTTGAACCCTGACCCTACACACCCAACCCCCGCCCCCTCCTGTGAACCTCACATCACACATGCCGCGCTATCAGTGCTTACATCTGGGCGCAAACAACAACACGACCCTGGAGCAAGGAATAAGCCATCACTTTTGTGAAAGGATTCTGAACAGTGCCCGCTGGCCCCTTAATATGAGACCCTCAAGGTCAACGGTTTTTGGACAAGAGTGCCAAGGCAAACCCAAACCATGCCAGGCAACCTTGAGAAAATGGCGATGGCACGCTGCCACTCCGCCGCGGTCCTGAGGGGAGCGGGGGGTGAGGTGTGTGGGCGCATTTATAACCAGAGCTTGCGTCGGCGGGACCTTCTGCGGCCTTGGGGGGCTTCTTATAGGGCCGTCAACAAGGATAATGAGTTGTTGCTCTTTCTCCGGAGGCTGCAAATGCCTGGTATAGTTTAGTCCAGGGCCTGTGAGGCTTGGGGTCCTGATAGCATGGATCCAGTCCGTCCCTGTTTTTGCAGATGCTGACTCCTGACCTGCAACCTGCGACCTGGCAGAGCATATCAGCTAGAAAGATATCTGGGGACTTGCAGAGTGCACATGCTTCTGCGCCTGGGTCTAGAAATTGTGAACGTGCATGTTGCAAGGTGCAGGTAGACTCCCCAAGCCTGCCATAAATCGGCTCTAAGCCAGTAGCTATTTCCGAAACTTGGGTCCTGATGTGCAATACATCACCCCGAATAGTAGGACTTTGCCACTCCCACAGGGGAACATTTAGGAGCTTGATTTTGGGATTGGGGCTGGATGCTTTGGGCTCCGGGTCTAGCCTGGAAAACTTGATCAAGGCCTGGCTCGAGTTTTTGGCCGTCTGGTGCATTCAGCATGAAAGAGCTCAGGGTTGTCTGATTACATGGGCTGAACAAAGTATGAACGTGCCCAGCTACGGCATGTCGTACAAGCAAGGTGGGTATTCTCCATATTTGCTACTGGATGACACGATCTTCAGCTTGGGAAGGATTATGCAACTTACGTAAACCTGAAGCCCTATGGGGCACAGCTGGGCATGGACACCGCTATTCAAGCCTCCTACCACTATGAATTTGCAGGCCGACCCTATAAACCCCTGAACTCTTTCGGGTTCAGGGAATGTAGCTGACGGACTTCGCCAAGAGGCTTACTATCCTCCATACTCCATCGCAGGATGTCTGATTCAGACCGCCAACATTGACATCAATCAATGACATGGCTGCACAAATTCCCTTGAAGTCTGTCTTGACCAGATTACCCTCCAAGCAGTCAGTTGTCCTGCATCAACAAAGAACCATAATGTTGGATAGTCAGCTGCGTGTCTCGCACAGCCCTATGTTGAATCCACCGGGCCTACCCCAGCTCACCGTGAACCACTACTGCGCTTGGTACCATATCCGATGCTTTGCCGTAC